TAGTATTACACTATTTATGTTATGAGTCCCATGTAATAGGGGGTGAGCCTTTTGCCATATACCGGTCACAATTCCAGACTTCGTGCTACTACTGATATTATTTGAAAAAACCCAGTAGGTAATACTTTCTTGACCCGGGAATCGAAGCTTGCCCGGCAGTCGCACTTGCGACCACTCGGCCAACGAGGCAATCTATAAAATACTATGTAATATAATAAGATATAGTTACTGTAACTAAGGTCTAGACTATTTGTTATAATATAAAACAGTCTAGACTGTTATTTGAACAAAGCACTAAGTTATAGTTTTGTAGGAATGAAACTGTATTAACTCGATTCCTTTGAGACGTACTCAACCGGGTTGTTATTGAAACTAGATATTACTCATTGAATCGGTTGGAGAAATATATGGACAAAATCGGTTAATAGCGAGTCTGATTTGCTGAGAAAGTTACTAGTTGCCATGACAACGGTTCTGTCGTGCGTGTTTAAAAAATACTTGATGTTTTATACCTTCGGGCCTTCTTGAGCCCAACGAATGTCCGTCGTTGTAAATTATAATATTATTGGAAAACTTAGAAAGAGTTTTTTTTACTCTTTGAAATTGGAAACTTATTGGTTTTAAACCACCCGAGCGTACGGCGCGTTGCGTTCCGCGCGCCGGTGCCGATTCGGAGTCGCGGATAACCTAACGGGTAACCGGGGCTCCGGCTCGACGTGCAGGAGAAGGAACGGGGTGGTTTTTAGTCAGTAAGAGTCTGACACTCCCTCCCGCCTCACCCAGGCGGGAGCAGACATTCGATGATTTTCCCCCGTTAAAAAAAAATTGGTTTTAAACCACGTTTGATTTTAGAAACTCAGAAGGCAGGAAAAATAAAGAGTACCACCACTACAATGCACCTTACATTGTTAACATCGAAATGAAATTACAAAATCAGGACTAGCTAAACCATTAGGTACTATTAATTGGAGAGAAAAACAACAAAAACGTATAAATAGTAGTGTTGCCCAAATGCAAGAACAAGACGAGACTTAGCCAGTCTTGGTCTTGGTCTTGCGCCAATACACCTGGTCTTGGTCTTGGTCTTGGTCTTGCGCTCCCAGTCTTGGTCTTGGTCTTGGTCTTGCAGCAAGAGTCTTGCAAGTCTTGTAATTACCTATTAGTCTATTACTATTTATTAAAGTTTACTTTAAATCTTAGAAAAACGTATTAGAATTGGAACATTGTGAGCTTGAATTAACATAGCCATAGTAAAGATCAAGCAGATTAATAAATAACTGAAGATTAAGAAATATAATGACTAAATGTACAATAATAGTACCTAAGTAATTAGTTTAAAACCATATAAGTAATCAATATTATAATATATAAGGTGCTCTATAATTATTAGCCTCGGCTTTAATGGGAGGTAGTGTTATGGTTACAGATTACAATTGTGAAGAAATTTCGTGCCCCGGACCAGTTAATTACATACAGTAATGTATAGTAAAGGATGGCAACAGCGTATGACGGGCGTTCAAGAACGAGACAGCACACCCCAGCCAGCAGAACTCGTCGCACGCGCCGCCCGGCCGCCAGTAGCCCAGTCAACCCCTGCCTGCCCACACGTTAGTTTCAATGTCGGGGATACGCGCGCGCTACGTAAAAATGACTTCCAGGCGACGAAATTCAAATCAGAATTCAAAGAGGAAGTGTTAGAGTTCTTTCGGTGTCATCCTCTTGCGAGCACAAGGGATACCGCCGGAGTGTACGATGATAGAGACAATAACTTGTGGCGTCTTTTAAATCAAACGCGAAATAAAGTAAAAGGGAAACGGACACGTTAAATAATGTGATATGACATGTTTGGAAGCGTGCCTTCATTTGTGTGCAACGCGAAGGTGGACTTGTGCAACAGTTTTGTAGATAAGTAGGTAGAGAGTGTGTAAATAACTGTAAAAGTGTGTAAAAACTGTTTTAAGTGTGATGGGAAGTTTATAATCTTATCTACCTACATCAGCTTTTCGGAAGAATGCCGTACCTGGTAAGTAATTGAACTTTTAAAACCCTTGTTAGCCTGCCTATTGAGTATCTAGTAGATTAGATAGTGACGAACTAGTCAGCTGATTTCCGTTTTCATTCTCAGTACACGTGGAAAGAGATAGCAATTGTTTTCATTGACTAAGCGACGCATCGCGCGTAATTTGTGAACCACATTATGCAGAATGTAGTCAATGTTTACTTAATTACTGTATGTAATTAACTGGTCCGGGGCACGAAATTTCTTCACAATTGTAATCTGTAACCATAACACTACCTCCCATTAAAGCCGAGGCTAATAATTATAGAGCACCTTATATACTTACAAGAATGAATTAATATGACATCTACTACCTATCCTTACCATTTTATCCTAATCATAATACTACTTGCGTGATCAGTATAATGTATTCATTTTCATTCTAAGCACTCTGAAACTTATTTATTCTTTGGAACACCTGTAGGTACCTACTCTTAAAATTCGAAATTATTTTGCATGAGTATACCTACGCCCTATGGCGGCAATCAAATAGTGTCAAATGTTATGATTTCGGCGTGGCGGCAACGATTGTTTTATATTTCAAAAGAAGCCGCCGGCGCGTGTATCATAACCATGTACTTCCGAAAAGCGGTAAATTTCTTTGAGAAGTAAGTACAAAACCTTTGATGCCGCATTATCAAAGTGCCGATGGTTAAAACATAACTATGCATGCACTCAGTTTGATTTTAATAGATATTTTTTTAATAGCTATGTTTATGGTATTAGTCGTAATGCGCATAGGTCCAGTTTTTCATATTCTTTGATACAGTTTTTTGCGTCTCATAGAATTCCTAAGCGTACCTACCTATACACCGAACTGTTACACCTAACTACTCAGTGAAATAGCGCTAAGTCCTAGCTGCAAGACGCAAGAGTCTTGCAGGCTATGTCTTGTTCTTGCTCAAGTCTTGCACGGTCAATCTTGGTCTTGGTCTTGCTAAAAATACGCGGTCTTGTTCTTGGTCTTGGTCTTGCAAAAACGCAAGAACAAGACCAAGACTGCAAGACCAAGACTGAATTTGGGCAACACTAATAAATAGTCAAATTGACTTTCAAATAGATTAAAATTCCCTCAACACTAAATACGCCGTCTCAATAACTTCCGAGCTTCCGCCATCTTGACTTTCATTTTTTGTACCACAGATTATATTTTCCCGCTACGCGATTACGTTTCGTTTTTTTTTCTATGCTTCTAACAATATGTGATTTGTAAATATTATGTTTCAAGCCGGTATCATCACCATCACTAACCAAAGTAGCTTTCCGCTGTCTATATGCCTGTATACTTTTGAGGGGGAAATCATTCTATTTCTTCTCCCGCCCGGGTGAGGCAAAAGGGAGTGTCAGACTCTTACTGAGTGAAAACCACCGCGTTCCTACTCTTGCACTTCGAGCCGAAGCACCCGTTAAGTCCTCCGCGGTTCCGTATCGGCATCAGCCCTATTAGGCCTCATCTGTAGTGGTCTGATGAACGCGACAACAGATTTTGATGGGATTTTTTATAAGACAGAGAGATTAAAAAGAAAGGTTTATAAATATATAGTTTAGCGTCTTAATAGTGAATGACATTAGTACCATCCTCTAATGAGACTTATCACATAACTAGTGAAAAGTTGATATTACATAGTATATTATGTAGTATAGTACATTATGGCTCTACCAACCCTTTCGGGGTTTAAAAGCCGTGAAGTTATGGAATACTTATGAGTTTTGAACCAGTTTAGAAAGTTTTGTGTTGTCTTCCCATAACTCTGAGGCCCTCAGGCGAAAGGATCGTTAAACATGTCGGCTAACTAGTCAGTGTTTATGTTTTTGTGAAAATATTTATAAGCTTTCTTCTCCCTTTTCATAAAATATAAGGTTTTTAATATTTTACCCGTGTTTTCTTTCCCGTCAATCAAGGGAATACGCTTGCTCTATTACTTAGATTTTTACTTTGATTCTGAAAAAAATGTGACCCATAATAGCTTCCAAGAACAGCTTTCATATTACCAAACAAAGAACATTATTTTACAGGGAGTGTATTAAAATGTACATAAAATAATCTATAAAATATTGTCTTTAAACTTTTGAAATCACAACACTACAACGTTCATGCTTTCACAAGTTAAAATTCTAGTTTGATAAAGTTGAGATTTGTAATTAAAATAGGGTAGACGATTAATTTTTATTTCAATGTCCGTCTGGTAGATTATTTAAAAACATTAGATGCGTATTTTTTATTTGTTTACGGATACGAATAGTTTCGAAGATATATTGATTCGAAATGTCTCGTGACGTCATTTCTTTGTACATTTTATACGTAGAAATGACGTTTTAGCCCCCACTCCTAAACTTTTGAATCGTTATATCTAAGTATAATTTTATTAGTATTAAATATGTGTCTAATGTTATTTCTTTACCTAACTGTCGGACTAATTACTATTTCAATTTTCATACCCTGTCATTATCCCTATTATAATATAGTAGCCATTCCGTAGAGATACACAATAAACAAAGTTAAATTGAACTTCACAGATGTTAGCAAAAGCGAGAATTAATTTAATACTGATAAAACCTGCCCGGTGTTATCAACTCATATTTACTTACGTAGCGCTACGCTGTAGCTTCGTAGCGGCAGTCGTAGCTCCGTAGCCGCGTAGGCCAGACGCGTTCGAACTGCGATAGCGACTACTTCCGAAGTGCGACGAAGTGTTAAGAACTTTTCCGAAGTTATTTACAATTTATTTAAATTTTTTGGTTATTGTATGTGACTATTTTACAATAAATAGTTTATTAATAATATGTTCGTACTACAAAGTTTAATGCATAGTTTTATAGTTATAAAACTTTAATCAAAATCAAATTGCTAAAATTACAAAAATATGTCAATGTGAGTGTTATAAAAACCACTTTAACACTAACTATTTAAATAGTGTACATTATCATGTAAAACCTCAAAATGTTACTAAACAACTATGATTACGAGGACGAAACTCTTCAAATCACCACTTCTGAGATCGACCGACAATTTTGGGATTATTTTGATGGTGCTACTACCGCCAGTACTAATATAACGGAGACTGTGTTGAGGGATCAGGGGCCAGTTTTGGTGATTTATGGGATCCTGTTGGCTGTGGGGGGAGTGGGGAATGTGGCTGTGCTGGTCAGCCTCGCCAGATCGAGGAGGAGGAAGTCTCGAGTGGATCTGATGATGACACATCTGGCGCTTGCTGATGTCTGCGTTACTTGTGGCGTTATTCCTTTGGAGGTGAGTGACCGTGTTTGAGTTTCTTAATGTCACTGAGTCTGTATATTTTGACTGTGTGAAGCAGTTGCAGCAGTTTGTCGTTCTCGTGATTATTGCGGTTTGTATTATCAGAAGTGGTGCTCAAATAATTTAGTTTCAAGTGGTAAAAATTTCCTCTGACTTTGTATTTGCCTTGGTTTTATCTGCTACTTATTGCGTACCAGATTTGTGTGTACATAATTTATTTGTAATATATTTTACAATTTATAAAGCATCAAAAATTGTATCATAATAACTTGGTAACACAGAAAGAAGTTACATGTTACTCGAGTTAACATTTTGGGAAAAGCTGAGTGTTTTTAGAAGTAGTATCTAATACCAACGTTATTGATAAACCACGACATTAAAACACAGATTTCAAATGAACATTCAAGAAACACTCTTTACTTTTTTTTGGGGAAATCCGGAAAAATATCGATGTAAAATAATCCATTCAATTTATAAATCAAAATTTTGCTTTGAAGCATTTTTGTTTGACAAAACATTCTGGACCGTCATTTTTACCGCCCACGGTACTCTGTATCTGGCTGAAATATTTTCTTCTAAAAACATCGAACTGTTATTAAATTAAATGGCGCTTAAACTGTTAGCCAGCGTTCCAAGGTACCTGAAAATAAAGAAATGTGGTTTCAGTCGCATGAAAATATCGAGAATTTTGTACTTATATATTTTATCTTATATTTTAGTTCTTTTATACTTATTCTTCTGAATCTTTAGATAAACATTATATATTTATGAGTAAAATGTTATTTGGTTTTAAAACCATCCATCTTCTTGTAATTTAACCTCTTATCTGCCGTCCTATCATATGCCGATATGAGACATAACAGAGGGCACATTGTGCCTCGCGTATATCTGCGCAGATCCCGGCAAACCATGGGTTACATAGATTCGTAATACTTTTAAGCAATGTTTATTGAGCTTCAACCTTTGAGTTTGTTTCGGCATTTCTTCTCACCGTTGTAAGTTAGGAAATGTCGACCTCATCGTTCGCTTGAAAAATTGACGTGTAAAAGTGCTGCCTTGTAGCCTATTTGCAGAAATAAATTTACTTGTTTCAGTTGTCTCTTTGTTTTTTTTTGAAACGTTGAAAACGTTGCCCCACACTAGGATTTAGGATTTTCTCCTGTGTCGTGGGTGCGTTTACAAACATACAAGTTCATATACACAAAGACACCCAGACCCGAAACAACAGTTTGTGGATCACACAAAGTGTTGTCCCGTGCGGGAATCGAACCCGCGACACGTTGCACGGCAGCCGGTTGCCCAGCCACCGCACCAACCGTGCAGTCATTATACATCAACGATCTTGGAAACGGCTACATCGAATTTCTGGAAGTTTTGTATTTGGGGGTCTTGGGGGCAATGAATCGATCTGGTTAGGTTTACTAGGTATACTATCAGATTAAACAATGTTTGAGTGAGACTTTACAACAAACGTTCCTTTTTAAAAGAACCGATGAAGTTTTTTGTTCGTTCTTCTTCTCACGAATCTTGACACGGAGAATGAGTTTCACTAATGGACATTTCTATTTTGATGTTTTAAAAGTTTTTTTAAGGGGGGTAAATCATCCTATTTCTTCTCCCGCCCGGGTGAGGCAACAGGGAGTGTCAGACTCTTACTGACTTAAAACCACCCCGTTCCTACTCCTGCCCTTCGAGCCGGAGCCCCGGTAACCCGTTTAGTCCTCCGCGGCTCCGTATTGGCATCAGCACTATTAGGCCCCATCCGTGGGTTTTAAAAGTGCTTGTATGTTAACACCGATGTTGTTTTGACAATTTCATTGGATTAATTGAACCAAAAATTTTACTTATGTATATTAAGAGCTTGTTGAGAAAAAAATCTGTTTGCAACGTTTTCCAGAATAATGAGAGAGAAAATAATTCCTTAGAATTTTGTTTTGGCTGGAGGCCTTCGTTTTAAATGAAATCGGTTATTATTATGCTTTGTACCCGAGAGTTCAAAGTTCATGCTCCGGGTAGATACGACCTTAAGCCTGAAAAATAACAATTACATTTCAGCAGAACGTAATACATTTTATTTATCGAGAGTTACATACACATTATTATCATGTATTTGTCGTCAAGTAGATACAAGAGTATTTGTTTTGTAGGTTAATGTCGAATGAAGGACTCATAATTTATTCTCTTTGCACGAAGAACACAAGTATTTAAAGCTCAATACTGGATAAGTGGTGAACCAACTATCGGTTATGGTGTACCACAGGGTAGTATTCTTGGCCCTTTATGGTTTTTCATAGTTACATAAAATATTTATGTAAAACAAAACTAACGAATGGACTAATCTTATATTCACTGACAATATCGCCGTACCACGATGATATATAGGAATATATAAAATTATAAAAAGGTATGAAGGTATAGTTAGAAGATTATTTAAAAAAATGCTCTAGATTCTCTTTTTAAACATTTTGTAGAAGTTACCTCATCATTTTATCCAGTGTAAGCGCGTATAAAGTTTCCTAGGCCAGCTAGTTTGTAATAAGTACTTAAGTAGTGGAAAATCTTAAAATAACACCGACAGGCAGCGCTGACGTAGTCTTCTTAAAAACGCTGTAAGTTATAACTTTGTTAAGTATCAAGTAACAATTAACTTAAGTGTTTCCGGGAAAAGAGGAGTTTAAAAATATAGTGACATGAATTTAAATAATGTAACGTTAAGTAATTTATGTACACATGGCCACACATCAATCTATACAAAACCAGTTTATCCTGGCGTCGCGTCGCATCATCTTTCCGCACATTTAACGTTCAGTTTATACTGGTTATGTAAAGCTCAATGTGTAGCCGTGTGTAGGTGTTGTGATGGCTTCATGCATGAGGGTGAGGGTTCGAAACCTACCAACGCAACGGCAAGTATCAATGTGACTTTTGCCGAGTTATATGTACTTTCTAACATTATTTAGACACCACTGACAAACGTTGAACGAAAATATTGTGAGGAAACCTGGGCTAATAATTTCTTATTATAAATTTGAAATCACCAACCTGCATTGAGCAAGCGTGGTGATTAATGCTCAAACCTTCTCCGTGTGAGAAGAGACTTCGATCAACAGTGAGTATTTATAGCCTGTTGATGTATGTATTATGAAGTTACATATTTACAGACAGCGTTAAAAAGTAAAATTGTAAGTTTATGTTACTTACGTCTAGCTTTTTACACTACATTTGTTTTCTAGAGTGATAATTAAGATAAAAAATATGAATATCGATTCTATTTCAAGGCTTTATGCTTGGTATTTGAATTGCCAATATTTTAACTAAAAGAACAGTCCACAATCATTGACATTTTCAGCCATTTGTAAACTCCTGGACGTTAGTCTCCTTAAGTTCCCTCCAGGATTTTTGAACGTATGCCTTTAGCATCCAGTTCAGTCTTTCGTGTCCTCTGATGTCGTCCATGCATCGTTTAGGTGATCGGCGCTTTGGTCTGAGTCAACAGTAATACCCTTTATATAGATATATTAGCGGACCCAACAGACGCTGTCCTGCATATCCATTTGAATGTATAAACAAAAAATCATTCAAATTAGTTCAGCCGTTTAAGATAATTAACCTAGACATCGTTACCTACACACGTAAAAAAATATTTGACCATGAAAATTATGTACTTGTAATATGACAAGGGTACACAAATACGTGGAGAAATTCAATTTATTTATTAAAAAAAACCTAGACTTAGACTGCAGCGCCATCTGCCGGGCTGATTTGTGAATTTTAACCATCCAGTGCGCCACTCAAACGCGTACAGAAAAAATCATTTCAATCGGTCAAGCCGTTTAGGAGGAGTTCAATGATACACACGTACATCAGAATTATAAATATAAAGATAAAGTATCTGAAAAGTTAAATAGACTCATAATTTTAAGTGCCAACTAACTCCGAGGGATGTTCGCCTGGAGATAAACATCTTGTTTATGTTTTGGTTTCATTTTAGAAATCCTACTAAGAACTTGTCGCGTTTAAATTTAGAGGCGGGTGATAATAATTGTTAAACTTTTGTTCCCAAGGTTACGCAAGGTTACGGACCCGCGGAGGGCTTAACGGGTAACCGGGGCTCCGGCTCGTAGCGCAGGAGAAGGAACGGGGTGGTCTTTAGTCAGTAAGAGTCTGACACTCCCTCCCGCCTGACCCAGGCGGGAGCAGTCATGCGATGATTTCCCTAACTTAAAAAAAAACTATCTCTACGCACCTGTGACTCCTCTGGTGTTGCGGGCGGCGCTGATCGCTTACCATCAGGTGATCCGTCTGCTCGTTAGCCTCCTATACCATAAAAAAACATATAATAAAATCTTAGATAAGTGAAAACTGTGCATTGAATATTTTTTTAAAAGAATGCTTGAAAGGTTTGATCTACAATGGATACCGAAGCTAAAATATGGTTTTTAGAATTTTTGTCTGTTTGTCTGTATGTGCAGTACTTTTTGAGTTTAACCCGGACGGGTTAAACTCAAAAAGTACTGCATAGGCTCACCCCCTATTACATGGGACTCATGACATAAATAGTGAAAAGTTGGTGTTACATTGTACAGTGGCATTAAGTGCTGAAATGTGCACCTCTGCCTACCGCTTCGGGGATAATTACCTATTTGCAGCCATACGACCAACGAGCCAGTATCAATAAAATAACGATAACTCAGTTATCTACCTTCTCAACTAGTTACGACAACTCTTGGACTATGTTATCGGAAGTATGTAGGTACGTGTCAATAAAGGAGGTCGACTTGCAAAAGTTTTTTGCTCGACGTTGATTCAGGAGAGGAAATATTTCTTCACTAGCTTTTACCCGCGGCTTCGCTCACGTCACAAAAGGATAAAAAGCCAATGTGACATATACCAATACACACACCGCCATCTATACCAATACTTTTGTTTTCCCTCGGGAATATCAATTTTTTCCGGGATAAAAAGTACCCTATTATTTAATCCATATTTATAACTTTACTTCGGGAAAAATT